TGCATAAATTACACTTATAGGAAAGTTCAAGACATTAAATATACGTAATAGAATTTTTTATTGATGTGCTTTCAAAGGGGAATTAAAAGAACAGTTTTAAATTTGTAGGATTTCAACTTCAAACATTATTAATTTTATTGAGTAATTACCTTATATAGTAAATTTGAATCAGAAACTCATAAACCTTCCATTACTCTTTCTGTAACTAATTTGAATTATTTTGTGATTTGTAACAGTAAAAATGTTCTTTGCACTAAAGTAACCGTTGAATAGGTAACTCAATTTTTTAAATTTTGTTAGCAAATATTTTTTATGAACTCTAATCATAATAGTCACGGCATTTTTCTGATGCAAAACACAAATAATTATTCAAACCTTTCTCACAGCATAAAAAGTAGTGCATTCAGCTAATATAAACGGCAGGATTGTTTATGCTAAATTTGGTATCTGTAGGTAATCATGAAGTCTGATTTTATTTTGCACAAAGAAATCCACAAACTCTTCAAAATAAATAATAGATTTATATGGAATTTGATATTTAATATCACATTTTATTACACCTGAATGCATCCATCCATTGGCAAATTTTTTAAAAAAAGATCTTCAGCAATAAACCTTTGTTTCTTTATTATATGTAACATTTTTCACTGCATTTTCAGCATTTCATTCTGGACGGCTTATCACCTCAGAGACTTATTATGGCCAGACTGAATGACTATATATCCTTCCCAAACACTCTCTTACTAGGCCAGTTCTCCACTGTTGTTAATAATGTCAACATATTCTCTGTGCCCATTGCCCACAACCTAGATGTTATCTTCTAATCCGACCTCTCACATCCTATCACCTACCCATATAGCACTTTATAGGGTACATTCCTTTTCTAAGCATGAATCATCTGTTAGGGTGTGTCTACACAGCAAAGTTATTTCGGAATAATGGCCATTATTTCAAACTAACAATGCAAGCCTCTACACAGCAATTCTGGTATTTCGAATTAATGCATGGCTTATTCTGACTTCTGTAAACCTCATTATATGAAGAATAATGCCTATTCCGAAATAAGGCCTCCACTTTCTGCTGTTTCGAAATAGTCTCTCCCCAGGGCCATTCTAAGTTATTCCTCCTGGGGCTTTAAATCGAGATAAACGTCTACATTAGGGAAGCCTGCCTTGAGCTAATTTTGAGGCTTCCCTGCAGCGTAGACATGCTATTTCGAAATAAGCTATTTCGGAATAACTATTCCAGAATAACTTATTCTGAAATAACTGTGCAGTGTAGACATAGCCTTACAGTGCCAAAGCCAACTAATACTGTCCAGTTTATAGATCCCAGCATGCAAGCAGGGAGCAAGCTGTGACCAGGAATTAGAAAAGAGAAAGCCGTGCTGTCCCTGTTTTATTTGTTTGGGCTCCGAGGGAAAGGTGGATGAGAACTGCAGATAGGTTTTAGCAAGGGTGAAAAACCCAGGGAGACAGGTTTGGGAATTTGGTCTTTCCCTGCAGAATGGTCTCCGGCCCTGTGGCAGAGCAGACGTGCTCTGCTCAAAGAAATGGGGAGGAGAGACCTGCCTATCAATGTTCTTTTCGCAAAACACGTAAGGACTGAGAACAGCACGAGCTTCTTTCCTCCTCAGTGCTGTGGAACTGCTGTGAACAGGGCTTTCTGAGAGAACCTGGGGGCGGGGGGTGGGGGAGTGTGGTAAACAGGCAGGTAGGACCAAGTCTGTATTTTGGTGAAACTTCGGGCATCATCTTGTCTAAGCACTCGAGGAACTGGCTTGTCTGTAAGTTATTTTGTCTGTTGTAATAAACAAACTAGCTTTTAAAAAATTGCTTGATCTTCACTTATTGGTAGGGCACAGGCCAATATGACTCAGAGCTGTGGCTGGTGACACTTCCTCATCTCCAGTCCTCCCGACTGTTGTCGTGACAACAACCCCATATTCCTCTTTGAAGGCCTGTTCCAGCGTCCCCCTGTGCTACATATTAAACTGGATCTTCTGGTCCTCGTTTTTACGATTCTATATGGAGCCTTCACCCCTCTTTCTCAGGTAAGGTTGCCAACCCTCCTGTTTCCACCAGAAGTTTCCCAGAAGTGGGCTTTATCTTCCAGAGGCTTCTGCAGCCAATCCGGGAGGTTTTAGCCTGCTAAAAAGCTGGTGGCGCAGTGGGGATAAGGCAGGCTCCCTACCTGCCTGCCCTGGCCTTGTGGTATTCCCAGAAGCAGCCGTCATGCAGTTGTGTGCCTCCTGGTGGGAGAGGGAGGGAGTCTCTGCACCTTGCCCTCGTTCCAAGTGCTGACTCTGTAGCTCCCATTGGTCAGGAACTATGGCCAATGGGAGCTCTGGGGGCTGTGCTTGTAGATAAGGGAAGCATACAGAGACCCCCGGGGCCTGAGCCTAAGAGCCGCTGCCAGAAAGATGTGCAGTCACTTTCAGGAGGCACCCAAAGTAAGGGCTGCCAGACCAGAGCTTGTACCCCTCATCGGTGTTCCCTGTGAGCTGAGTGCTTGGGTGGCCACGCAGGAGAGAGTCAGGGGCTGCCCACCTGATTAGCAGAGCCCCCAGAGCAGGCAGCGTGAGTTTCTATTGGTGGTGCACCTCCACACATGCCTCAGTGCACATCATAAAATTTATTCCATGGATGGAAAAAATGAGAGTGAACACTGCCCCTCCCCAGCACAAAACCTTCACCCTCTCCTGCCACAACGTGCAGCAAACCTGCTGTCCTAGCCCATAGCCTGCACCTTGTACCACTCACCCCCTCGTGCACCCAAACCCATTGCCCCAACTCACAGCCTGCACCCACCACCCTCTACTCCATCCCAGAGCCTGCAGCACCTCCTGCACACCAGACTCCTGCCAAAGCCCAAAGCTGCACAACTCACCTCCTCCTGGACCCAAACCCCCTCCCAAGCCACTTCCCTTGTGCTCATTCGAGTCCTTCTTTAAAAGCTTATTTCTGATGTGCAATCTCTGAGACGCCCTCTACCTTGGCCACTTTGTTTGCCCATGCTCATGCGCTGTTGCATCATGACTGAGAGGGTGTGTCTAGACTACAAGGGTTTTTCCAAAAAAAGGGGCCATTTTTTAAAAAAAACTTCCCCGGAAGTAAATCAAAAGAATGCGGCAGTTTTTTCGACCACGGTAAACCTCGTTTTACAAGGAATAACGCCTTTTTTCGAAAGTGCTCTTTGAAAAAAGGCGCTATGTAATGCAAACTGTGCTTTTTTGAAAGAGAGCATCCAGATTGCCTGGGTGCGGCTTGCTTTTTCAAAAGTACTGGTTGTAGTCTAGATGCTCTTTTTCAAAAGAGGCTTGCAGTCTAGACGTAGCCTGTGTTAACTTTTCAAGGCAGGAGAGAGGGACGTAATGGGATATGCCTTTACTTGTTCAGCGATACTCCAAGGTCATTTCTGGACACACACAAAATAAAGGAACAATGCTGATAGAAAAATATGGAAATAGGTCATGTCAGTGTGTAAAATCAGGATCTCTTTCAGCTTAAAGTGCTGGTGAAGTAACTTGTTAACAAGTAAGATGTGCACTGTACCTTGAAAAAAATTAGAAATAAAGCACTGTGGTTTAGAGGCCACTGTCTACTCCCCACTGTCAAAAAAACAGCGTCTGACTCTACTGACTATTGAAATCCTGTCCTTTTTGAAATTTTCTATTTTGGAATTAATCCTGAAATCCTTAACTGAATAAACATGTCAGCATTTTTAAAAGATTTGATTAACTAATGAATTGTGAATGAAGACACCACAACATGAAAATATTACAGTTAGAGCTCTGCACATACTACAAAGGATCCCACTTCAAGGAAAATGAGGCTTCTGTTTGTTGGAATTTCTCATTTACTCTTGGTGGTGGTGGGTTTTTTTTCCTGAAAAGGCTGAGGTTCTATTTATTATGCATGAGTTCAACAGAGGAAGTGTGGCAGCAACATAAAAAGATGCCAAAAGACATTCCTTCAGCAGTTGTTATTCCTTTTCATTCGTCTTTTAGTTTGGGGCTTCAAGTTTTCAAGGAGGTTTATGAAATTTACCTGTTTGGAACTACTCTCAAAGTGAGACATTTCCTTTTTTCACCAGTCCTCCTCTGGTGAAAGGGCTACAGGAACAGATTCAAGTCAGCAGGATGCAATAACATATATGTTAGTATAGAAGGAGATTAGTTATCTGAACTATTTTGGTTGAGTGTTTGGAAACTAGGAAAGAATTGTAAAAACATGGCCAGTAATAAGTCTCTGCCTTCCCCTGCACCAATCAGCAAAAACAACAAAAAAGAAAGGCAGAACAAACTTCCAGCCTTATGATTCTATGATTCTATTGACAAAGCCTTGGCTGGGTTGATTCAGTTGGGTTTGGTCCTGCTTTGGGCAGGGGGCTGGACTCAGTAATCTCCTGAAGTCTCTTCCAGCCCTAGGATTCTATGAGTAATCTCCATCACATTAACCTCTATCACAAAAAAAAATAATAATGACAAAACTCAGAGAAAAAGTCACTGAACATTGAAGGGCTTGGTCGCTTCTTGCAGATTTAAAAGTCTGCTGGAATGGATCTCACTGCAAGATTGGGAACCAGGAGATTTAACAAGCATGAGCAATAAACAGCACAACCAAGTTTCTGTGCCATGCCTCAAGCAAGCACAGCACAGCACAGCACAGCACAGAACTCACAGTCCTAGGGGAAGAAGGGAGCAAAGGTTGCTTAAAACCTCCTTTTCGCACTCCCTGTTCTGGGCTGCTCCTAGGGTCAGAGCAGCCCCTAATATAATTTAGGGATAGCCCAATGGAATGCCCATTGAGTGTGATACTATGGGCTCATCCTCTCTTGTCCCCACTTCAGGGCTTGTAGGGCAGCAATATCAGGGAAACCTGGCCAGTTCTAAGTCTTTAGGGGTACGGCTGCGCAGCAAAGTTATTTTGGAATAATGTCCGATTTGAACATCTCACTTTTACTTCCCTGTGTACTTCCATTTCTCAATTTATTAACAGGAAATAGTATTTACCCACTTTTATAAAGAGCTTCAAGATTCCAGGATGAAAGGCAATATGTAAGTACAACATATATTAGCTGCCTACCAAAGGCATATTAGCATATTTTGCAAGACATGACAGTTTATCATTCATTCTACCTGCACTATAATCTATATTTAACATTTTTTGAGAATCACTGGGGAACGCCTGTACTTCAAAAAAGCAAACACAGAAATGATTGGCTTTGCTAAAATATGTAAATGTATTCTTGCAAACTAGTTCAAATTTATGGTAATTTTCCAAACACCTATCATCATCCCACTTCGACATCTGTGCAGTTCAGGACTGTGTGCATGAAGTGTTGCTAACAGGTAATAAAACACCCTAAAATCAAACTTCTCATTCATTTTTTGACTTGGCTAACATTCACAAACTTCTTGTAAGTTAATTACCTACACTGAAAGGTCATGAATATTTGGCATTTGTTTTGTTCTTTTTTTATTATTATTTGGTAGATTATTTGGGGTTTTATTTAAAACTCTCTTTAAAACAAGTCATTATAAAAACTGAGAGTGAACACAGATTTTTAATAGAATGACATTTTATTTTGTATCATACAGCTGTGAAGTAGATTTACTAGACAAATGACTTTTTCAGTTGTAGACATATTGCTAATAAACTGTAAACTTTTGATATAAAAATGTTAATGAAATGTAGGGACACACAAGCTACTGATCTATTTTCCTCTACATTTCTTACATATGCAAATGTGTCAACTTAATTTTATTTCATGGTTAAGAAGAGGCGTGTAACGGGGTTGCGCTCACCTCAGTGAAGCGCCCCCTGGCTGACTCTGTGTGTGCCTGTACTCTTCTTTTGTGTATGGAGGCTCTTCAGTGATTGAGCCCTCTGGCTGGATATCACACAGTCTGTGTGCAAAATAAAACAAACCCTTTCCGGGGTATACATCCAACAATACTTAGTAACTACAAATAAGAAAAAAGAAAGAAAAATGGACATACAGCTACAAAGATGGTGCAGTGAAAAGTTGCATCATGCCACAATGCGGGAAAAATATATATATCCATCAAAACACTTGGCGGTGAGTTCTGACGGAAAAAGGCCTTTATTAGAGTGTGCCAAACACCTGTTAACATTTTGAGGTAGTAGTATTCTGCCCCCTTTGGCCACTCATTAGTCATGCTTAGAATCAGAGGACAATATTCCATGAAAGGGATAAATGGCAGACAATTTGTAGTTTTTTAGTTGAGTAAATGGCAAGCCCGTATCTACCCCTCTTTTGAATTATAATGAGCATTTTCAGTGAAAATATCTGACTAGATATTTTTAGGAAACCCATTTTTCTCCTGTGAAATCAGGGTTTTCTGCATGATTTGAGAAGCTCTAGGACATTATATTCAGAGTAGGAACTCTATGAAAATAAAATTGAAATGGAAAATCATTTTAACCAGTAGCTTCAGTTTTCATTATTACACCTATTACGAAGACTTCAGTTTTCCTGGCTAATGTCACTGGTAGGGGGGCATTATTTCATAGTGCCATGTTGATCAAATCACAGACTTGAAGTATCTTGAACACATTCTAATGTGGTGTACTTGTCATGCAGCAATTCTAAGTATTCTTCAGTGTAACCTCTACTTAATTTAATCATGTCAGCAAGACACACATGTCTTTGTGGGTTCTACAAAAAGACACAAGATTTCTTCACACCCTCAAGATCTATATGTGGGAAGTGGTAGACTCTCTATCCTTAGAAATTTTAAGACCAGGCCTGACAAAACCCTGAATGGAAAGTCAGGTGGGTTCTGCCAGGATAAACTCAGACATTCTGCTTAACCATAGTACCTCAGCCATTAAAAATCTGTCTTCTTTGCATTAGTACTTCTAGAAACAGCAATCCTGCTGGGAGAGGATGTTTTTAGGAAATGAAAACTCTGTTAACACCTTTTTAAGTCTAAGAAAAATAAACTAAGGAATGGGCAAACAGAAATAGGAATGTGCCCTGTACTGACCTGCTAAAGTTAATAGGCTATCTCCAATCTCCACCCACTGTTGATATTTTAGTGCCCAAAGCAGATCCATTGTAGACAGCTAGTCACAGGAAAAAAAGGAACATAAAACTATGCAGCATGTAGAGAGGAGGTTATAAGTTGAAGAGACAGGGAGGGTACGCCTACAAAGCAACATTATTTCAAAATAACTTGTGTTATTTCGAAATAACTTAGTCCACGTCTGGCTGGAGAACTTCTTACTCCAACTCCAGTAACCCTCATTGTACAAGGAGTAAGGGAAGTCGGAAGAAGAGTGCTCTATTTCGAAATAAGTGCAGTGTAGATGCTCCCACTTTCGAAATAAGCTATGCAATTGACATAGATCAATTTATGTAGCTTATGTCGAGTTAAGCTCTGCCGTGTAGAGGCATCCTGATATTTAAAATATCACCTCCCCACAAATAGCAGTATGGACTTGGCAGATAGTAGAACACACACTATTAGTCCTAATAACTATAGTCCTATAACTATAGTCCTAATAACTATTTTAGTAGTAATTCTTTAATCAAGGAGTAGTTCTAGATTAGCTAGTGAGAAAATCAATAAAACTGTACCTTTCAAACAGGAAGACAGTATACCCGGTGTAGCAACCAAACTAGAAGTAGTACAGGCAGTCCCCGAGTTACGCGGATCCGACTTATGTCGGATCTGCACTTACGAACGGGGCTTCTCTCGCCCCGGAAGATGCGGCCGGCGAGACCACCCAGACGCGCCGAGGTCCCGCAGCCCTCGTCCTCTGGGGCAAGAAAAGCTGCTCCATGTCTCCCTGGTCTGCAGACCAGGGAGACACAGAGCAAAGCCGCGGAGGACCCGGGCGGGACCGCGGTGTATCTCGGTCTCGCGGCCCACGTCTCCATGGTCTGCTGGGGGGGGTCCGCGTCTCCCTGGTCTGCAGACCAGGGAGACACAGAGCAAAGCCGCGGAGGACCCGGGCGGGACCGCGGTGTATCTCGGTCTCGCGGCCCACGTCTCCATGGTCTGCTGGGGGGGGCCAGCTAGTGCGCCCTCTCCCCCCTCCCCCAGCAGACCAGGCTTTTCTCGGGACGCCTGTGGTAGAGCAGCTGGGGCGCTGCTGGTCGGTCCCACAGCGCCGCTCCTTGGCGCTACTGTATTAACTTAGAATTTTTACATAATAATCACTTATTGAGTATTTTCCATTAAGTAATATCTTCACTCTGTAATGCATGGCAGACAGGATTTTCAAAATCTTTACACATGGTTTCTGTGGTAGTCTGTCTACAGAATGTATTCAAATAAGGTGAGAGAATTGTGACCTACATATGTATGTGGATTTTCTATGCAAACTTTATTCCTCTTGCAACGGAATAGATTCGTTGCTCCATGCAGATTAAGGAAACGTCTACAATGCAGAGCAAAAGTAAAATTTAGGCTATGTCTATACTACTGGGTTTTTGTGCAAAACCAGCTGTTTTTGAGCAAAAACTGGTTGACAGTCCATACCTCAAGTGTGTTTTTGAGCAAAAAATCCCAGTAAATTGACAGGACAAAGGGCATTTGCCGGTGGAGTTATTCCTCTCCCCACAAGGAATAACTCCTTTTTGCGCAACAGGGGTTTCTTGTGCAAAAAGAGCCTATCACAAAAAGCACAGGTGCTCTGATGGCCTTTCTGTGAATGGCCATCAGAACTTTCTTGCACAAGAGCGTCAAGATGCCATGTGGATGCTCTCTTGCGCAAAAGCACCTCAGTTTTGCGATGTGCTTTGAAGTGTGGATGTGCTTTTGCACAAGAAGTTTTTGTGGAAGATCTCTTTCTCAAAACGCTTCTTGCGCAAAACCGCTGAAGTGTATACAAAGCCTAAGTTCCACAACTTCAGCTACGTCAATTGCGTAGCTGAAGTCGAAATAGCTTAATTCAGCTTTTGGCACTGTCTACACAGCAGGAAATCGACAGAAGAGCACTCTTCCTTCAACTTCCCTTACTCCTCATGAAATGAGGGTTACAGGAGTTGGAGTAAGAAGTCCTCCTGCTCAACATTATTTCAAAATAATGGCTTGCTCTGTAGACATGCATTTTGTTATTTCAAAATAATGCCCGTTATTCCGAAATAACACTGCTGTGCAGGGTATATAGGAGGAAATGGACAGGAAACTTGGGAGGGGAGTAAGTTTCATTTTCAAATGGAAAATGTAGTGCTCTGTGGAACAGACACACAAGATCTGATCTTGCAGTCCGTATCCAGGTGAAAACTTACTGACTTGAAGTTTAAAAAAAAATCAGGTGGTATCAGGGAAGCAGGAAATCTCCTTGGTATTCCAAAACAATATAGTAAAACAAAGAAAATATAAGAAGAATTTCCCAGGGATAGGTTTAGCACACCTTCCAATTTCTTTGGTTTAATCCGAAATTAGTCTTTTCATAGACAAAATGTAATGAGAAAGAACAGATCATTTTATAAAACAGTTCATCTTGGGCTGGCTTACTCTCAAAATTAATATGACAATCACATTCACTATTTGGCCAGATTCTGAATGCTATAGTATTGTGTGTTTTGCCCACAATATTGACTAAAGTACAATAAATAAGAAAATTAACGGTTTATTTAAAAGATATTCTTAAGTAGTTGAGCTAGACATTCCGAGAGTTATTGTAAGTACATAAGCAACTAATAGGATAGTCCTTCTTCCAGCCATGATTTCCTTTGACAAGAAACTAGGAAATTAGCTAACTGAAAATATCCTTAGCATGAATGCAATGTAAAGGCTTTGATATCAATCATTCAGGAAAGTCAGAAATTCAAAATGTTACTCTGGCAACATAAACAACCACATTACTCCAAGGGACTATTCTGTTCTTTCCCTTGTTGAATGTAAAGCTTAACTTTCTGCTGTTTGGTTACTGATGTAGATCATAAAACATAAGAACACTGTCAAAGCAACCATAATATTTGCATTTTCTTCACTTTAGAGGGCTTAATTTCACAACTACAATGTTGCATTAGTGCTCAATGTTTATGGCTTTTGAGGAAAGCAAGAATATAGATGTT